AATTATTACAAAGCCTAATAAAGTGAAGGCAAGACTGCCGAATTATTAAAAAAAAAAAAAAAAAAAAAAAAAAAAATCAACTTCTCCCTTTAGGCCTATTCCGATTACCAAGCAAGAAGAAATTGCACAGGATGATAAGACAAAAATGTCAAATTTAGAAATAATCTGTAAGATAGAAACTTATCTTGAACAGATGGGCGAAGATATTTGGAAAAATACTCTAGGTTAAAGGCCAAAAAAAAAACTAAACTGCTAATTATTTTAGAGGAGGTAAGATCTTTATTAAATTTAAATAATGAATCTAATAATGATTGTGTTGATTCGGCAGAAGAATGAAACACTTAGTTTTACATTTTGATGGGTGACGAAATTCTTTTTATTATTTTTTATTATTAAGAAATAAAAATGTTACATCATTATTATTTAATTTAATAAAATAAATAAAATAAAATAAAAATTACATCAGTTATTTAATTTAAAAAAAAAATAAAATAAAAGATCTAGTTCAATTCATTTTATTTTAAAAAATATATTAAAAAATACTTTTAACTTCATTTTTTGAATGGCTATTTTAAATAAAAATAAAGCTATTGCAATTCTAACCACCAAAAAATTTTCGTTTATCACATAGTTTCTAAAGTGAATCGCACAAAACCATCTCTAATTCCGCGAAGTAGTCTAAACCCGTATGAACTAAATTTCTTTTATCAACCTATAAGCAATTCAGCAATTTCTGCAGCATGTATTTTATCGGGTGACAAATGAATAGGTTCTGGATTTCTACTTGGTAATTTTGAAATTAAAATGGCAGATTATTAATAAGATCGTTGATCAAAAGATTTTGATGATAAACCAGAATTTGAGCTATCCACATTTGATAACACAATTCTAAATTTTTACCTCTTCCATTTGTAAGTCGTCCCACATACTAATATGAGACTAACACGTTTACTTGAAGCGAAACTGATTCCATATCTTACCTTATTCCAACATTATACACCATTTTTGAAATTCTTGAAGCTTTTATTCTGGAAACTTTTTTGATAATGTAAGAAAGAGATAAATGAAACCAATTAACATACACTTCAATTAAATAGGTTTCAAGGCATTTTTCTTTTATGATGCTCAAAAAGAATATTAGCCGGAACTTATGCATAAAATAAGCACCAAACAAAAAAACCATTGACAAAGTTCTAGCAGCAACGAACCGTATCACCAATGCAATGACGAACACTAATTGACGAATTGCTCCCAAACAATGACCATCTAACCTGGGAGAAGTTTAGTTACTACTAAAAAAAAAAAAGAATAATATTAACTGAGCTTATAAGCTAGAATACAGAAATATCAAACATCTTTGCCGTAATGCGTTAAAGTCACTTAAGAATTAAATCTCTTTTAAGTTTTTTTTGTAACCATGTGTAGTAAAAAGCGGGTATGACTTGTTGTCAAGTATTTAGAGTTTATTATCAGTCAGATTTAAGATTTACTTCGCTATATAAAGGCGATATTTTGTGTAAAGAGCTTTAACATTTAGTAAAAGTCGATTAATATCGACTCTTGATTTGATTGGTCAATCATTGTAGTACGTAGAACAATTTGGAATAAAAGTCAAGAATAATCTGGGTGGTAATCACTACTAAATAAGGTGCGATCAACAATAACCAAATATGGTAAACTAGATGGTGCGGGAAATCTATACCCGACAATCACGTGAAATGTTTCAATTTTTGACAATCAATTTTCACGTGATTATATATAAATTTGACTAATCAAATTATTGATCGATTATCAATTTCTCTTATAAAGTCCAGCAGTCAAATTCGTAAAGAATGCGATTAGAAATAGCTACTGAGATGCTACTGGGACCTGATCTAATATTGAAGCAGCCAAGTGATATATGGTAGTAGTAACTTACCTAATTTAAAGTTCATTTTTAGTTAGACCAGATTAACGAAGGCTTACGGGATATATGAAGGAATAGATCTATTTTAGTATAGGTAACCCCGTTAAAATATCTTATTAACACATATATTCGAAGAAATATATAGGAAGTATGATCGTATCGTGATGGCATCTATTTTAAACCTTTTTTTTTTTTTTTTTTTTTTATATATATGGTCGGCATGCTACAACTGAGAGAGCATACCAGTTAGATGGTGCAAAATTGATAGAAAAACCTCGGTAAGAACAGCAATATATAATTGTTTTTATGTTTAACCTGTGATTGTTACATTATTCTCTCTATATTTTCAGGCAAGTGACGATGTGATTTATACTTAGTGACAGCCCACTCAGCCGCTCTACCTTCCAACCCCTTACAATAAGCATCCATACCTCCATGATTTGTGGGCAAACTTTCGAATAGTTGACGTTGGGATGCTGTTGAGGACTTCTGGAATTCGTCTTAGTAAGTTATTATAGTTATAGCTGCATGATGCCCTAAGCTCCCGTTTTAAGAAACCCCAGTATCGTTCAATAAAATTGCATTCATAGTGGAATTTCGGGTATCATTCAAAAATATGCCCTGCCTTAATAAGTGCCTCTTTCAAAATTGATTTCTGTTCACAGAAATCTGGCTGTAATGAAATGATTCGCCGTGCACAGCAATTCAATTCTTCAAAATTATCGTCACTTTTCCTAGAACACTGATCACATACCTAGTGATAGGAAAAATGCGCATTTTATAATAATATGCGCATAAATGCACATTAGTGTGCACGAAAAGTTTCATGCGCAAGATATCGCATGATAAAAAAAAGAAAAAAAAAAAGAAAAAACATCAAGAGAAATCTTGATGGGATAAAATGCACATGATTCCGCAATCATGCGCACGCATGAAACCCATCTCTACACACACCAAATTTACACCTCCAACTGGCCAAAGGTTACATTCTTCAAGTACTTGTTGTATTCCTTTTGGCTTCCCTCTTAACTCAAGCACAGGATAATTATCTGGGAACACCATTTCTTGAACATGTCTTTCCCCATACTCATCAACATACCAACTATTACGCATCTTAGGTTGTGCACCTTTGGGACCTTCGTTCATTCTCATTGCGACCAGTGCATCTTTTGCCATAGCATTATGGTTTGTCTATTGATCAAAGCAGAAGACACCCACACATCCCGGATGCAATACCTCAAATATAGGAATTGCTCTTTCTAGAAGCTAATTTGTAGGTAATAAATTTTATTAAAGGTTTGTGTTTGATTAATAACAAAAAAAGAAAAATATAAAAATAAAAAAAATTTAAAAATTAGAAAAAAATTTAAAAATAGAATATAAAAAGAGAATAAAAAATAATAGGAAAATAATAATAAATAAAATTGAAAACAAAAAAACCTGGTTTAACATGTGCTCTGCCTTCCAATATCCATCTGCTTGTACAGAGCGAAGAACATAAGCCTCCTTGTGTTTAACATGTGGATTCGCCCGAAATTGCTCTTCGGACAGCTGCAATAACCCATGACATTGGCACATAAAAGCCAAAACCATTATGGAACGCCCCATGTGTTTTGGACGTAAAATATCTTCATCTTTTCTGGTCCAAATTTAAGCTGTCCGTCATTTGCATAAAAGTGACATTCATCATGCGTCACTTGTACCAATTCTCTTTCATCAGATTCGAGTTCGGGCTCTATTACTATCTCCAATATATCATCAACAAAATCTTTCATATACATCTTGTACCTAAACATTCTTTCTAACTATCCTTTCCTATATGCCACTACATCTGGCCGCTCATGCCCATCATAATACACCCCTTTTTTTCTCTCATTATACTTGTACCCCAAAGCATGCATATATATTCGACACATTTTTTCTGAAATGATATTTTTGGCATTTTTTATTTTTGGTAATAACACTTCTTCAATATGCATCTTTAGAGCCTTAGAAGAGCAGAACTCCAGAGATTGCTTCTGTAACCATTCTCGACATCCATTTAAGAAAACTTCATTTTCAAGCAAACCTATGACTTTTTTATGTTTTCCTTGATGGTAAGAAAAAAGTTCACCTGATTCTATATAACTATCTCCCCATTTTCGAATACACCTTGTTGTATAGTCACCCTTATTCCACACTGTTCTTGCAACAAAAAAACTGGCATCCATTTTACCTCGCCCTTCTAATAATAACTGTATATATTGGCTTATACTTAGTAGGTGCAGGTAATCGTACATAGGCATATTATTTTTTGATGATTTTGATGATTTTTTTATTAGGCCATGCAAAATTAATTAAATGGTTTTCATAACCCGGCCGGGTCAAAATTTGAAAATTTCAAAAAAAAAATTTTTATATGTTTTAATAACCGGGTGGGTTTTAAAAAAAAAATTAATATAAATTTTGTAAAATTTTATATATGAAATTTAAAAAAAAAAGCCGGCCGGCCAGGTCTATTTAAAAGTTTCATGTTATGAAAACCAAGTAATCAAATTTGTATGGCCTTAAGCACTGCTAATTAACTTTTTCTAAACGCATACGTAGGATTGTCGTAGTATCAATGGGTGATGAAGAGTTTTGCAAGATTGTTGATGGTTGTAATAGTGATCTGTTATTTGATCTTGAAGTTTTAGCATCAAGTAATATATTACTTGATGTTGAAGCTTCAGCATCAAGTAATATATTACTTGATGTTGAAGCTTCAGCATCAAGTAATATATTACTTAACGCTGAAGCTTTAGCATCGATTAATATATTACTTGGTGCCAAAGCCTTATTATTGAATAGTGAATTACTCAATGCTTTAGCATTGAGTAATGTATTATTTGGTGTTTTATTATTGAAAGATTTATCAGCAGTTCGATTTTCCCTCGCGTTTTCTTCCTCTTTTTTCTTTTTATTTTGTCTCCAAAGAGTAGTCCTCGAATTTTTAGTATATACTTTTTTAATTTGTTCATTTGTGATTTCATCTCCCTCACAAGTTCTTAATGTGAATTCATCTTGTACATCAGTTATTTCATGTGTTTCCTCCTCTTGAGCCGCAAAGCGACCCCTTTTTCTAGATAAATTGTTTATTTGTTGTCGTCTTTTTGAGATATGGGGCATTGCAAATTAATGTAAAACTAACAAATCAACAAACTAATAAATCAACAAACCAATAAATCAACAAATTTATGCTATTTATAGAAATAATGTTTTGGCAGAACATAACATGATTTGTGTAGAGCAATGAAAAAGATATGTATAATCCATTCTGAAATTTATTATTAAGCAATTTATGTCTAATTTATCTTTTATATCTTAGGTAAATGGCTTCTATATGTGAGTACCACTAAAAGAAAACTATATAAGTGCTTCACAGATAAAACCTGACATAAATTAATATTATCACTAAGAATTGTTATATGATAGTATATATTAAAAACACCAATCAGTGTTCTGGGAACACTTATTTGTATATGCATTTCCAATAAGTACTATTATATAACAATTCGTCAGCCGGTATAGTGATAACATTAATTTTTTACTTACAGGTCTTCTCTGTACAGCTCTCATTCATATAATATCAGATTTACAAATTTTTACTTTGAAAACATACATACTGTATAGGTGTAATAACGCGCATCTGCGCGTTATTTTGAGACCCTGCGTGTCATTTCGTAATGCACATGCGCGATAACTCGAATCATTATCCTAATTTTGAAGAAAAAAGTTATAACTACTAAAAACTTTTCTGAGACTACGTAGGCAGGGCGCGTTATTTCGGGACACACATGGGGCGATATTTCAAGTCAAATATGTGATTTTCAAAAAAAATAAAATTTTCAAAATAACGCCCATGTGCGTTATTATGCGCCTATGCAGTACACAGCATTAAGTATCATCAAGCAAAAAAACGTGGAATCAATCTTCAAACAAGATAAGGTTTACCAGCCCTGAGAATTGTTGATATATTTTACATTTATCTTATTGATATTGATGGAATAATTATAGCACTAAATTATTGACAGGTGATTGCAGCCAACCTTGACTACCTCAACATTAATTTAAATTTTTATGCTAACTATATATGCCTAACTTGGAATGATGGAGGAAATAAGTAGCTTTATATGTGCTTTTATTAAAATTTTTGTGCTGAAAATTTTTATTAACTAGTTGCTCTAGTAAATTTGTGTTTTTAGACCAATTTATCATTTTACAATTAGATCAAGCAGTAATAATTGTGGGTCCATCAATTTTTTTGTGCAATGACAAAACAATATAAAGCGAAGCCACTTTAATTAATATTGCAATGTAACTAATAGTTAATTCTGGATTAATTTATATGTATACAATAAATATATGAATATGTATTTGTTAATTACAAGCCTATTTTAATTAATGTTAAAAAAAAAAAATAAAGCTTGAAACATTGCATTTTTAATGCTATATTTTTGCAAAACCATTCGCAATATGGTTTTTTGAGCATGTACTGCATCACTTATAAGCTTCTTTTACTGTATTAAAGCTCTCATTAGCCACTGTTTCTTATTCTCGTAAATCGGATCATTTCTTCATATGATCGACACTAACCAATCAAATGTTTCGCATGTGATAAACAAAGCGTTTCAATTTTGTATAAACATAGTAACTTTAAAAAGTATCAACTTTTTATAGAGGTAATATTTTAAAAAACTGACCGGTAACTTTGTAGAGCTTACTACAAAGATCAAAGTTACTGGTCAGTTTTTCAAAATATTGCCTCTATAAAAAGTTGATGCTTTTTAAAGTTGATATGTCTTCATGGTCACGTGATTGTCAGATATAGATTTCCCGCACCATAGTTAATTTGTAAATTACAAAAATTCTAATAAATTAGTATAAGGTTATTAAAGTGAAATATATATATATATATATAATTTTATAATTTTTATATAAAAAATCTTCAATTGTTTTAAAATCAAATTTAATTAACTCAAATTTTTTTATAAATAGATTATAAAAATATTAGAAAATAGGTCTATAATTCAAATAACAGAAAATTTTTTGGCAAAGCCTAGTATAGCAATATAGAAGTTGCTATGAATTTAGAAGAACTATTTGAATATTTGACTAATGCTGGATATTGTTATATTGTTATGGACAGGTATATGCTATAATTTTTTTTAAAAAATTTTTTAAAATATTAAATTTTTAGTATTCAATTTTAGATATACTTATTAATCAAAGTCAAAACTACTGAAGAAAATTTGCATAATTTTGCATTAATTCAGTGATATAGTTTTATATCTAAAAAGGATCCATATTATTATCTCTTAAACCGTATTCCAGGCAAATTTGCCTGGAAAATTAAAAAGTATTTACAAATTTTTAAATAAAATTAAAATTTAT